AATGTAGGAAATCCGATCCCATATATAAACGAACACACACACAAACAACCTGGGTTTTATAATAAGTATAACTCGATACGAGTTGTCCCCTTTTCATTCTCGCGACATCGATGCCTCTTAATCGTATTTTCAAATTGATTTCGTGCAAAAACAATTGTGTTTTTTCCGATTTTTGGCACTGTCAGAACCACCGCAAGGTAATTTTACGTTGTCCTCTGAAGTTTTGTTGAAATCGGTTGAAAAATGTAGGAGATCCGATCCAATATATAAATGAACAGACACACACAACCTGGGTTTTATAATAAGTATGATATATAAAGACATTTTTATGTTTAACAATCTTTTTTATAGATACAAGTATTTAAGTAAATGCTCTGTTTATAATAAACAGTATTAATTAACATTTACAGGCCTGAATGTCCGAGAGTTTTTCATAGAAGATATTCGTCCTTCGACAAGATTTGAACCTGTATCCTATACAGAACCGTCATATAGCTTGACGTGCTTAACCTCTCGGCCACAAAGGATCGTTCGGTTGGCAAGGTCGAATTTACTGCTTATAAACTTCAATTTTCCATGAATTTCTCACGTACATTCATAACTGCTCATGGCGTATCAAATGTAAACAAATGACGCCACACGTTATGAAATGGACAAAGTCCGACAATTATTTAAAGACATTTATATATATATATATATATATATATATATATATATATATATTATTTATTTAAAAATATGATTCCAACTCGCGACATAAGAGGTTACTTTAACTCAATTTAATTCAAATAATTATATTGAAGTTTTCGGCTCTTGTTTTGAAACATGAGACCTCTTATGTCGCGAGTTGGAATCATATTTTTAATAAATAATTATATTTATGCTCTACTTTTGTATCGAGCACTATTTTTTAAAAATAATAACTAAAATACTAAGGGACTTTGGATTATTTACCTAACCAGTTCTTTCCTATTTTCTATATATTTTCACACACACACACACACACACACACACACACACACACACACACACACACACACACACATATATATATATATATATATATATATATATATATATATAAAAAGAATTAATTTATGTTTAATCCAATTTCTTTATTACTTTAATATACTATAATAGTATCAGTTATCATAACATAGTTAATCCGTATTTGAAATAGATGCCATATCTTTATTTATTAAACGGTGTGTATCAATTTTATCAGGTGAAGAGTGACGCAGGTTTGATCCCTGTTGTAGAACACATTTTCTTTACTAAATTTTTGGGATGAGCTGGCCGACAGATGCAAGACACTCAGTTTAATAAATAAAAACGTGACGTCTATTTAAAGTATCCACTATAACAAATAACCACTATAATATTTCCTGAGAGAAAGTATAACTGTATTCCATTTATAATCTTTGGAATTAGTGTGTCTGAAGACACACTAGTGTCTAAGCGTGCTTGACGATTTTTACCACACTAAATATAACGCTTATAACCTTCTTATTCATAAGAAACATAAATTGCTTATATATACAGAGTTGCTAAGATCTTTGAGGACATTTGATTTTCTGGGGTTCTAGTCGATAATTTTCTGCCAACCGAACGATCCTTTGTGGCAGAGAGGTTAGGCACGTCAAGCTATGTGACGGTTCTGTATAGGATACAGGTTTTGGTGTTCTGATAGTACCAAGACTCTTAGCAGGCGGTTCGCGTTTACCTACTGCTATAGAAACCACGTCAGCGGCGGTTCATTTATAAAATGAGACACCGTACAGTCTCTCACAAGTTTTGCTATCGTGATTACTGGCGGGTCTCTAAGGGCCTGCTGAACAATGATTAACCCTTATTTCCTCCTCTCTTCACATTCCTTGAAGTATTGTCCTCTACTGCTGACTTTATCGATTTATCAAGAGTATCTTTGTCTGGTTTCTCCCCCTGAAACTTAATCTGTACTGAGGGATATACGGTGTTGTCCATAGTGATTGCTATCATCTCAAAACTAGATCCCTGCAAGGCATGCGAACTTGACGATATTCCCGTAACTCTCTTAAGGAAACGTGATTCTGAACAGGCTTCGGTTCTCCCCAAATTCTGCAAAAGCTACCTTGCTGCTTTTTGATCCCTTAGCTGCTACAATTCCTGTTCTTAAGAACCCTCTCATCCTTCAAATTATCTCCCTACTAGTCTTGTATTTTTTTTTTTTTTTTTTTGGCAAATTACTACAAGCTCTAATCTGAAATAGTAAAGCATGTCTTTTCGCTCGGTAGTAATTTCAGATTAAAAAAAAAGAAGACTTTTGCTTCTGCCGCCGATGTGATAAAAGTTATTTACTGAATTCGTCTATTAAGCTTTAGATAACAACGCTGAAGATCGGACTGTTGCTTCAGATATTTGGAAGGCGCCTGACAGAGCTTTGACATGTTGACCTTCTTCTCAAATAGAAGGTTAAGGTATCTTTGACCGAATAATGAACTTGGTCCAATCATTTTTTTCTTAAATCTTTTAATGCAAATCGTAAAAACGGGTACTCTCCAAGATCTTTTCACAATAATATGAATATCCCCAATATCTCTATACTTGGATTTGGGTTGTGTCTTATTTTCACCATTAACCTTCATTAGTTCCCCGCTCGGCATTTATGCTGATAACAAAACTATTTATTCCTGTTTTAATAGAAAGTCCCAAAGGTCAAATACAGTAAAACTGATAGCTAATGTCCGAAAATGCGGTAAGATCAGTTGTTAAAGGATGTAAATTCTAACGCCTTCAAAACTAAGCTCATATATTTTTGTCGTCATGGCTAATCTGCAGACTTTTCATACATAGTCACTAGGAGTCTGTGAATATTTGCAGCAGTTTTTCTTTACAGAATAGAAATTCTACGACAGTTTATTGCTTCCTCCATACATTCTAGAGGAGGCAAGTCTAATAGAATATTATACGCAAGAAAAAAAAAGAAGGATTCTCTAGTGTTTTTAGATATTTTATGGTTAATAGCTAAAAAAAAAAACTAGAGATTCTGACGAATAATTTTAAAATTAAATGAGAATGGGCATTAATATCTGATGGAACATGTCAGAAAATAGGGAGAAAGTAAAAGATATTAGCGAATAGATGGAAATGAAAGAGTACGATATCCCGTTGGGTTGGCAAAAGATACACGAGGAATATTTAGGCGTAAAGGGAAAATTACTTCATGACATATTTATTATTTAGTATTTTCTATTCCTGGGTCGGCCCCACAAAATAACTGCATCACATAGTTAATCTTTTACTCTGGACTTTGCCATTTTAATGCAATAAACAATTTCTGACCAAAAGAGTTCTATGGTCGACTAGGCATGCTCAATCTATATTAATAATTTCTTCAAATTCTGGGTAACATGTCGGCAGAAAAAAATATTCCTATAGACTAACTATAGGCTATGACTTAGTCATAAAGACTGCCATATAGCTAGGCAGCTAGATAGATATAAATAGGTAGACATAGATATAGAAAGAGATAGATATATTAATATGTAGATATTGATGTAAAAAGAAATAGCTAGGCAACTAGCTAGATAGATATAGATAGGTAGACATAGATATAGAAAGAGATAGATATAGAAATATGTAGATATTGATGTAAAAAGAGATAGCTAGGCAGATTGTGGGTAATCTTATGGTTACTGGCGCGGAAAATGGAATCAACGATCTGAGTTCAAATTCCAGCCTACTCTGTTACGTTCACTTTTTCACTAATGCCATGATGAAAAATAATCCTCATTTGGTCAAGAGAATATCATAGTCAGCTTGTAACTTTTCAATCGCCTCCTCGTATCATACATTGACAATTCATTTTAGCTTCATCGACGATTTATCGCAACTTTAATAGTGCTCAAACTATATTGATACAATTTATTAAAAAATTCTTTAAAAATTGTGTTATGTTGTTCTTTCGTATTCATTCCTGAATTACCACATCTCATATTTAAATACATTTTAAATTATTTCTCAACTGTCTTTGTCAGACAACGGTTAATTGATAAAAATTACGAAATCCTATTTATTAATACGCGTTTCTGAAGCTAAAAAAAATATGTCTAAGTGTTGACGTCTACATTCACTTTTATATTTACACACGCTCTATCTCTGATATTGAGCACTTTATCCCATAAATTTAGCACATCTTAAGACTATATTTCATCATATATATATATATATATATATATATTTATTTATTTATTTTTTTTTTTTTTTTCCTTTCATTTCATTTTTGGAAGTGCTATCTGATGATCCGGCGTCCTTTAAAAAAGGGTTCTGGTGAAATAAATTATAATGTTACCTTAAACTGGTCTGTTTTCTTTAAAATATATATATATATATATATATATATATATATATATATATATATATATATATATAAAGCGTTAGGTAAACAAAAAACATTATAAAGCGAGGCAAATTACGAAAAAAAAGTACAGAAATATCGAAAGGTTTTGAATTTAAAAACATATATATGTGTACGTGTGTGTGTGTGTGTAGAGAGGAGAAAACGGAGGACGAGAGGTAGATAACTATAAATATATATTTTATATATATATATATATATATATATATATATATATATATATATATGAAGAAATATAGTCTTAAGGTCTGCTATATTTATGGGATAAAGTGCTCGATATCAGAGATAGTGTGTAAATATAAAGTGAACATAGAGGCGACAGTCTGTTTCATGCTATTGCATATAGCATGAAACAGACTGTCGCCTCTAATGTTGACTTCTATGTTCACTTTTATATATATATATATATATATATATATATATATATATATATATATATATATATATAAATCGGTACATATAGATATGATAATAGATAAAACATATAAATAGGTAGAGATAGATATAAAAGAGATAGATAGATGGATATTATAGAAAACGTATATATATATACATATATATATATATATGTATGTATATATATATATATATAAAGATATAGAACATAAAAATAGATAGAGATAGATACAAAAAGGGATATAAGTACATATAAATAGGTAGACATAGATATAAAGAGATAGATAAGTAAATGGGTAGATATAGATATAAAAAGAGATCCCAAGGTAGCTTGTTTGCTATATATATATATATAGAGAGAGAGAGAGATAGATAGATAGATAGATAGATAGATAGATAGATAGATAGACAAAAGGTAAATAATAAACAGATAAATAAAAAGGAATGATACTGTTCAAGGAAAGGAAAAAGGTTTTCGCGGTTTCATGATTTGGCGTGAGAGCCAGCGTGTCTTCTAATTGGAACGACTTCAAGAGGAAGACCTTCTCCAATGTGTCCGTGTTTAAGTGTCGTTTATGAAAACAGAATGGCCCTACAAGTGTATCAATATTTATATATGGTCCATGTACAACAGAGATTCAAGACTGATCGATGCTGGGAAAGGGCCGTTTGTGTCATGTGGGGTCAGAGTTCTCCCAGGTGAAGTTGAAGCATCTAGTATTGATGTTAGAACCGAAAACCCAGTGCCTGGTTAACATAAACGCTTCCCCACCCAACTCCTGTTTCTCATGCCACCAACAATATCGTCTTTCAATATAGTCACGCGCATTCATTCATCTATTTCATTATTTTCTGTAGATTTTGCTTACTCTTATCTGGTGTCTTCATAATTTTCTCATTTAAATATTTCTTTCTTTCTTTTTTTTCTTTTTCTTTCTTTCATTTTTGTGTATTCTTTAAATTCTAACAATTTCTTTTCTGGCTTTGTTTCGCTCTTTTATTGTTTCATCATTATGAGAATTGTTTACATTTTCGTTCGTTCTTTCTTTCTATCTTTCTTTCTTTCTTTCTTTCTTTGTCTTTTCTTTACAATTTCGTCCATAATCTTATTTCTTTTCTTCCTTTTAAAATTATTTTATTTGTTTGTTTTTTTCTTTCTTTACCTTTTCGTTCTTTCCAATTGCTTCCATGAATTTATTCCTGTTTTGGTTTGTTTGATTCTTTGTTTATTTGATTCTTTCTTTCTTTCTTTCTTTCTTTCTTTCTTTATTTCTTTCTTTCTTTCTTTCTTTCTTTCTATGTTCACTTTTTCGATTTTTTCAATTCCTTCATTACCTTATTCGTTTCTTTCTTTCTTTTTTTTTTCGTTTTTTTTTTCTTTCCAGTGCCTTGCATAACTTTATTCTTTTTTTCTTTCTTTCTTTCTTTCTTTCTTTCTTTCTTTCTTTCTTTCTTTCTTTCTTTTGCATTTCTTTACTTATTTTTACTTCCTTTCTATCACCCTTTCATTTCCCTTCTTTCTTTATTTCCTTCTTTATTTATGTGTTCATGTTTGCGTTTTCTTCAATTCCTCTATTACATTAAACGTTTCTTTCTGTCTTTCTTCTTTCTTTCTTTATTGACTATTTAGTCTGATTATTTTTCCTTCTTTCTTTATTCCTGTCATCCTTTATTTCTTTCTTTCTATCATTCTTTCTTTCTTTCTTTCTTTCTTTCTTTCTTAATAAAGTTATTCAATTTACTTTTCTCCTTCACTCCCTTTGCATGAACCCAACGTAGAAACCTTCCTCAATTCATTTCTCTTTCTTTTGTCTCTTAAACTGCTACAACAAGATATTTGTAAAACCAGATCGACTCTGCCTTCGGGCGATATTTCAGAAGCACCAAGTACGGATTGAATTTGCTGTCAATGTTTTCTGAGTATAACATAGGAGCTATTCTGCAATGATAAGAGCTCAATTTGATATTTAAACATCCCTAGGGACACAGAACTTGTAAACAAAACTAATGAAGCTGACTACATTCGGCGTGTATCAAATTTATGCAACTAACTCTTGTCGGTCAACATGTCATTGTACCATCTCAAAAAGAAATCAAATACTATGGATGGATGGAATGTAAGAAATTCCTGCGTCTCTGTTGGCTGATGATAGAGAACGGCTTTTGAAGTAACTGCAATTGATTAAGATTTCAACTGAATTTAATTCTATAGTTGAGACAAAATGAAGTGCTATTCACTTATCCTGCTCCAGTCAGTCAGTAATGTGCCATGCGTGATACACGCTTAGGCGATCATGTATCTTTTGATACATGACTGACGAAGCAGATTTTTCTGGTAGTTGGCAGCTATTTCCTTCTGCGGTAGACCAGTTGCCATCCCGGTCTGTCCTGCTATTTACCCATAGCTGAGGGGGAGAATAAGTGGATTCGTACCTTTCCCAATTAATTGGAATTCGAACTCGGCACTCCGACGCATCAGTCCGAGCCGCTATCTATTACTTGAAATGAATTCTGTGCTTTTGTCTGACAGTAAGAGAAGAACTAAGAAAAGAGATGGTGTTCTGCAGAAGAATACAGAGAATACCATGGAAGGAACATGTGTTCAACTAGGAAGTTTTGAGGAAATGAAAGCACATAGAGACTGCTGGAAGTTTAGCGGGAGAAATTATAATCCCTTGAATATACTGAAGGGAAGAGGCCTAGAGACAAAGTGCGAATAAGCTATCTGGCGTGCTTGTGTAAATAAATTGCAAAACGTGGGAAAGGTAAATAGGCACACGAGGTGAACAAGGAAAAAAGTTTTAAGATAAATAGGAACAAAAAGGACACTTGGAAACAAACATTATTTTCTGGGCGTTTTTCGAGGAAAGAGACTTTAGAAAATGTTACATTCACTTTCGAATTCGGATTGAGGAATCTGTGAGCCGAGTTCGAATTCCATTCGAATCCATTACATTCAATTACGTGCTAATACTCCTAGGAAAGTTACGAATCATATTCTTTTCCTCCTAATTGTGGATAAATAGCAGGATAGACCGGGTTCTATAGCTGGTCTACTGCAGAAAGAAATGGCAACATACTGCGGGAAAAAAAAACTGCCTTGTCAGTCATGTATCGAAAGATACATGATCGCCTAAGTGTGTATCACGCATGGCACATAACTGACTGCCATTCATATATTTAAGTCAAGGGCAGAGGGTAAGAGTGAGTATCTTAAAAAGCTTGTTTAAACAACGGACAAAACAGAGAAAGGAAATGTTAACAAAAGAAATTGCTAATAGCTACAGTTTTAAAAATCATTTCACTCCAAGCAAGGCAGTAAAGCCACAACGGGTTACTGAGTGCAAAAAAGAAAAAATAATATTAAGGAGAGAGAACAATACAAGAAAAGTAACGGGTTACCGAGTGTTAGAGAATGTGTGAAAAGAAATACGCTATTAAGGAGACAGACCAATAAATGAACAAGTATTTAGAAGACAGAAGATAACGATTGGCATTGCATTTAAATTATTGCAGATTAATGTCGGCTAGAAAGCGTGAAGCCGGAAGAGAGTTCCACAAGACAGAAGTTCAAGAGAAGAAACCTTTAGCATAGAACTTACAGTTACATCTAGCCAACACAACTCTAAATTGATGAGACCGTGGAGCCAGTCTAGTATTCTGCTTCAATTCATAAAGTCTACTAGCAGGAAGTTCATCAGAACAATTACCATGAAAGTATTTATAGTAAAGTCACAGGGGCGGCGGTGGGAAAGCGACAAGAGCTGAGATGCCAGGTTAGGATCAATAATATTGCGGATATTTCTTTGGATATTAGCAAGAATCTCAAAATATATAGCAGGAACACTGGACCATATTTGGTAGAATTATTCGAATGATGGGCGAATGGTAAACTTATAAATATGTAAGATAGATTCTGGAGAGAAGACATTGTCTAGCACAACACAGTGAACCAAAATTAATACCTAGGAATTAATTGAATGTAAACTTTTCACATCATGCCAGCAGAGGATGATAAGGGAGTGAAGGCGTAATGCGTCGTTTTTGAAGGAGGTTAGCATCAGCCGTACTGATGGAAGGCAGAAAAGCGTCTTTCAGTTGATTAATAGAAATCAGTTTTGTTTTAGTGGCGTTAAAATTAAGAAGTCATTTACCCCAGTTAAGATAAGATTTTAGGTCACTTTTGAGATCGGCTGCCAATTTCACCCCATCGAACCGACCAGACAAAAGACGATGAGATGTGTGACATCGATATATGAAGCGACTTTCAGAAAATGGAAAATGCCATTAGAAAGAAAATCGTGCTAAACCTCTATGTAATATCTAGTTTTCTAGATGGTAGTGACTGCTGGACATTTTTTTCTTTGGATTTTATCAAGAATCTTTAAATACAGTGGAACCTCGGTTCACGAATTTAATTCGTTTCTGAAGCCCGTTCGTAACCCGAAATTTTCGTAAACCGAAACTATTTTTCCAATAGGAATCAATGTAAAATGGATTAATCTATTCCTGGTCCGAAGATAATTGCTTATTTAAATTTTAACAACAGTACTCTTTGCACAAGTTTATACACAAAACTAATGAACATCATATAATACACAAAACTAATGAAAATCATTAAATCTTAGAAAAATAAACCCAATACTAAATAGATAAAATATAGATAGACACTCCAAATTTTTGCATATAGGAGAGTTGATGTCGTAAGTGGAAGGGGAGAGATGTTATTTTTTTTTTTTTTTTGGAAAAGAGAAGGATAGACATGATCGTCTCTTTATGAGAATAGTATAGATCGTTGATTTTGCTAAATAAAACTGAGTAGGAAGAGACATTATCATCAACAATTGCTTTTCTCTTAATTTTCTCTTTTCCCTTTACCGGAATCACTGCTAGCTTTCTTTGGAGCCATGACTGTTGACTAATGAAGAGAAAAAATGCACAGTATAATAAAATTAGAAAAGAAAAGCACAACACACGAATGTATACAACATGGCGGTCGACGAAGAAATGATTTCGTCCGGGTTAACTCGCTTCGGATCGGTTCGTCAATGTTGTTCGAGAACAGAAATTTTGTTTGATAACCAAGGCATTTTCATCTCGAATATTCTGTTCGAAAATCGATTTCTCTATATTTCTGAGATGAGGTATTATGTATATTATTTACATTATTCGGACTATTGTCCTCATCTTTGTCGCCATATTTATCACAAAGTTTCGAGGGGAAGTAGAAAAATCAGGTGTGGCTGACCACATATGGAGAGAGAAGGGAGATCACCGCCCTTTGTGGGATCATGTTGAGATCATAGACAAGGAACACCATTGGAAAATTCGTAAACTTAATCAGCACATATGCTAGGCCACAAAAATCTCCTGAGCCGACCAAGCATAGAAATAAATACAATATGGGAACCAGTAATAAGGAGTGCCAGAGAAAAGCAATGATAACAAAATTGCAATATGAGCTCTGGTAAAAACATGAATGGATAACAGCAAAATTGCAATATGAACACTGGTAAAAATGGTTGCTGAAGACATTAGGTTTATAATACCCAGAAAGTCATACCCAGATGTCCTCAAGGCACAGTGGATAAAGGCGTTGGTTAGATCCAGTGACAGGACCCAAAGAGCGTGAGTTCAATACCCGGTTAAGGAAGTGGAGAACTTTCAGAGGGAAATTA